CCAACACTATTTCCCTTTATGCAGTGGTGGATCCTGGAATTAATAGGTTCATTTGCCTCTCTCCCAATTACTATAGTAAATGTTTCCCGTTTAAATTAGATTCTGGATCCGCCACTACCTTCATTCTCTCGACTCTGGACAATATTTTCCAATCGCGCACTGCTAAACTTTTATAATTCATTTAAACCAATTCTAACCTTATTTTTCTATGTCTCACAGAATTTTTTAAAATGTATTTTCCCTTTTGGTTTCTAATTCAAAAACGTATTAATTGTATTTTCATAATTTCCGCGAATTATGTGTTCCGATCCACTGTAAACTTTGATCCTTTAAGAAGTTTATAACTGGGATTATTTCTACTTCCTACAATAATACTTATTGAATTTCCTATCCCACATTCTAAAACTATTACTAAGATTTAGGCCACAAATCACCCATCAAACATTCTACGTCTATGTCTATGTTCTGTAGTCCAAGCCTAGTATCTATAAGTAAGTGCGGTCCTTAGTATTGTTGATATGAACTATACAGTCTTGTCTTAGTGTATTCAAGACAAATTTTTTACTAGTGAAGAATTTAAAAGACGTCTTGGCTTTTGTTATATGCATAACCATTATTCGTACATAGAATCACACCGAGATCTTGAAATTCATTTACAAACGAACATTATACTAACTTTCCTCAGTTTATAAATCAATCAAATGTTCAAATTAGCTTTTTTTCTACTTAACTCAACTTAGTTGGACGTATTGAGTTAATGAATATTATTCATTAACTCACCCAGCCTTATATATTATCTATTGTATATTCGCGTCGTTTACGATATAATTATACGTATATGCTTATGTATACATTCGACATTTTATACATACATTTTGTTGTTTGCAATATTCTCTCTACTCGAAATGTCATCGAGACCGATACGAAATGTCTCCTCGTCACGTTTTCGTCGATAATAATATTATTGCCATTACAGGTACATTTGCAACATTTGATAGCTACTATAATGTTATAATAATAATCATACTATCATAATGCGTGTCTGACAAATGTGTTACATAGTTTAAAAATAATGATAATAAAAAAATAAAAATATAAAATATGGGCTTGTCGACATCGATTATTATGGTTTTTTTTTTTACCAATCGTCGGTGGAGGTGTGACCTGCAGTGTACCTACCGCTATACCTGTAATTTATAAATATTTTTTAAAATATATTATACGTGTGTCGTTGAATATTATAATATTATACATGAAACAGCAGAACAATAATAATACACAATAATAATTTTTCGTTTTTATTTTATTTTTGTTATCGAACATCCTCCGGGGGATAAATTCGATTTCACAGAGAAAAATTTGCTCACTTAAAAAAAAAATAATAATAATTAATATATACAATTAATAAAAATAGAATATTTACATATTATGTTTGTATGTATTTATGTATGCATGTATGTATATGTGTGTGTATGCATGTGTGTATGTACGTATTTATGTGTGTGTAAATGCTAGAGTGTGTATTATGTAATATATTAAATATTTTATAATATGTGTTGCACAGCATTATTTTATTTCTATTCGATAATTATTATAACATTATTATTATATTATTATTACGTTTACGATACATTTTTATTACGTATTATTATTAATAATTATTCGACAAAAATAACATTTGGCGATGTAAGTTAAAATAATATTTTATTTTATTGACTATTGTATATAAAACATGGATATATGTAAAACAACTAAGTACAGATAGCCGGCTGTGTGACAGTCACACAGAAGTATGAATTATGAAATCGTACTATTGTACGATGTTGTAACCGCATTGGAAACCCCTGAATTACACTATGATGATTGTAGAACAATTTACGATTAATTTCAAACACTCTCTTCAAAAGTAATGTCGAACCAATTCTCCTCCGCCAGTCGAGGGTGCGTCGTTTCCGCTAAAGCGGAAAAAAAATGTTCGAATTTATTTATTTCCGTCGAATCTACTTCTATCTAAATTATTGTTTGAGAATCCCCGTCGTATGAAAAAGTGTAGAGATCTAAACATGAGCAGAAATTAATAATAATAATATTGTTACACTAATCTACACCATTAATGATTGCATTAAATAAATAATAATAAAATTGACTTAACATTGTTCAATTATTGTTAACTTAAAATCGTATTACATTTATTATTTTAAGTTTTGATTTTATTTTAAAATCGTGTAACTAGCGACGCTCATTTTTATAGCGGCAACGTTTTAAACATATTTGCCCAATTTATTATACGGAATGTAGATAAAGAGGATTTGTTTTATCTTCTACCGTTGTTTCAAATATTTTTCATACTATTCAATATTTTAATTATCCAATAGTTCATGGCATAAACAAATAATGTTTCATAAAATTAAAAATTTAGGGGATTTTATAATTTAGTATATGGCTGCCGAGCTTCAAATTAACTCAGAGAGTCGGCTATCTAGTTGTTTTATATATCTGTGATAAAAACATATTATTATTATTATTATTATTATATATATACATATGTGTAATTAATTACAATATTTTATATATTTTTTCCTGTAAATAATAATAATAATAATAGTATTATTATTATTATTATTCTAGTAGATTAATAATATATTAAGCGTAGTTAAGATGTAACAGTAATAATAATAATAATATTAGCGACCTATCATTTTTCGAATGCACCAAATAAAAATAAAATATATTATATATGTAATTAGACAAAAAATAATATAATTCGCTTTGATATTAAAATATTAAATATTATAAAACATACAAAATATACAAAATATTCTCATTTATATAATATACAAAATGTCGTTCTTAATGTTTATATTATTATATATAAAAATTATATTATATTATATTGTATTAAAAATTACACTTAAACATAATATTGTATTTAATAACATTTTATACTCGATTAGAACTAAATTTATTATTATAATATTATATTATAACATTATCATCAATACGAACGTGTTATTACGATAATAATTATTCTATTATCTATTTATATAATCAAATTATTATTTTTTTATAGGTAGGTAATTCTGTTTTTGTCCGCGTATACTGTTTTTCTTTCGTTTCGTTTCGTTTTTTCTTTTTTTTTTTTTTTTTTATTTAAATTATGTATTATGTTTATGAATTATTATGTTTTACATTCATTTTACGTTCCCTGGTTGTGATTTTAAGGTTGTTTTTATGTTATTTCTTTATTAAGTTTTATTATACATCATTGTCGTTCAAACATTGAATGAGTGTTTATTTTTTTACTTCTCTCTCCTTAAAATAGCTCCTAAAAATCAAAAAACGAAAAATACAAACGATGTAAGTATATACACATAATATAAAGATAATATGGACGAGCATTAAGAAGAGAAAACGTAACACAAGATCTAGTAAGTGTTACAGCATACAACCCTATCATATTAGTGATAATTGATTCTAAAGAATAGTATTGATTTTGTTATCGAATGGGTATCTACATCGTATGTAACCGAAACTTATACAAATACAATAGTACGATTATATGTTTGGCGACATTGACGTGAGGAGTTTTAGTTTATACTTCTCGTACACATCACACATACGAGTATAATCTATCATGTGAACTCTCTCACAAATGTTGACGGTTCCAAATATACCGCAAAACATACGCAGGTCCATCTATTTACCAAAATGTCCATGGTAAATACCTATAATATACTATAACAAATATTAAAATGTAAGTACGTCCGCGCACGGGAACTCAATCGAATGATACAGTAGTTTGAATAGATAATTCGCTAAATAACTCAATATAATATGTAAAATTGATCACTATAATAATTGCGAAGAACTCATTAAACAGCAGCGAGAAAAAAGTTTTACAAACCTATGTTAAAATTTTAATTTTACAGTGCTGCACTCTGAATATATTGCGTTTTACAAATGTACAAATTAATAATTTCTTTGAATTTTTCAAAATAATAACAAAAAATACTGGCTCGGTTTTTCCCTTGAAAAAAAAAAAGGAAAAAACACCCTTGAATAGAATTCCTAAACCGGAATTATATAATATTATGTTTGTGTATTTTGCCGAACAAGTAATTAAAATATCCAAAAAGTAAGTTATACAATTTAGATAATTTGGATATTATACGAGTATGTCCAAATTATTATAAGAACGAACGTAAAAAACAATATGATTTGCTAATAAATAGTTAATTTGGCAAAAAATATACTAAATAAAAATTTGTTTAATAATATGTAGTTACCAGTAGCATACCCACGAGAAGGGCTAAGGGGATTAAAGTCCCCACATTGGCCGTCTTAGATATGACAAAATATTATAAAGTTTTCAAAATAAACAAATTATTGCTAATAAAATAATAATAATTGAGTAGGTATTTACACCACTTACTCAACAAATAAATGCTGCACAATAATGTATTTTATAAACTATTTTTTTTTTTAAGTATTTTAATTTAAGCCCCCCCCCCCATTGAAAAATCCTGGGTATACCGCTTGTAGTTATAATACATACAAATAAAATATATAAACATTTACTGTTTTGATAACTATATTTATAATAAAATAGTCAGTCTTCTAAAATTGTATGTTTGATAGAGACGAGGTAGTATATTTAAATTAAAAGTGATAACCAATAATTCGTTCATCTGTTTCATCAGTTCCAAATAGTAACTATTAAATATTAGACGAGTACAAATTAATTAAAATTAATAAACTGATAAATAAATAACTATTAGATAGGTATTGAATGTTAAATATGAATGTTGAATATTGAATGTTGAATCGTCTAAATATTATAGGACATTGATTTTTGGGCATTTGACTCATTGGGTATTAAATTATGGACATATTTTATCGCGATGGTACTAGACCTATAATATACGACGTAGTTTAGTTTAATATTATTTACGTATTTAAATGTTAAAATAAGCATTAAAACTACAATTTATTTGACCAATTTTAACATTTCCAATAATATTTAATTATATTTACTACATTTATATTATGTTTCACGCAGGTAATGTTACACTTTAAGATAATACCGAGTGAGTGCGTATGGTGAAGAGAACACAATAAAAACGTCAACCCGAACGTTTGACAGTTATTTTCTATTATTATTTATGGATAATCCTATATCGCTATTATAAATCTACTAAAAATTATACCCGACGTTAGGTATATTGCCTCTACGGTTCTATCGCGTGGTTTAATATTGATGGTGTAGGCCGTAATGACAATACGGGGCCCACACGCAACCACATTGTTTTATTTCATTCGCAATTCTGAACACATGTGTGCCGGAATTTACGGTTATAAAATAATACTATAATAATGCGAAGCGATATGACTTTCGAACGCGGGACTCGTTTCGCCAGTGACGCTTTTTGAAATTCGAATTTACATAGACACCGTGCACATTTTGATTAATAATCAATGTGGCTGACTAAAACCGGTACGATTGGAAAGTAAAGTTAATCAAACTAAACTTATTAAATGAAATCGATTAACATTATGAACTATTGAACATTAGACGAAGTAAGTAGGTCTTCACTTCGTCATTCTGTATAATATGTGTTAGATGGTGAGTAAATGGTTGTAAATGCAGTTTCGTTGGATTTAATATTCACGGAACAAAATATTATTTTTTTGGGCTTCATATTATACCGTGAAATACAAAACCTGTCCCTACCACGTCCATAAAGTTCCTCCTACCCTTCATTTCCACTTTGTCTGATGAACTTTTAACTATTGATCGGTTATAGTAACTTATTTGAAACAAAGGAATTTCTAACTCGTATTTCTGGGTTGAATCAAAGTTTTAGTAAAGAGCCGTCTTGGACCTGTATCAATATTTTTCAATTCATTTGCAACAAATTGTATCAGTTTTTAACGGGAAATTATATATTTAACTGGCTATTTCGGGAGAAATCAAGTCTTGAAAATTCATTTAAAAATATTAAAAAAAACCAAAATAGTAGATGGGTTTAAAATACCGATTTCTGACGGAAAGTCACGTACGCAAATCGATGAGTTGAGCATATTGCTTGCAATCTACACTTTTGATACGCGTATGCTCAGGTGTAGATCAGATATAATATGAAATGACTGTGTCAGTATTTTTGTTGTCAGTTGATGATTCAATTGATCGATCGAGTACCATTCGATTTATCCAGATCCGAATAACACATAAAAAAAAATAGGCAATTTTTTGATACCATTGCATTTCAACTGTACATTGGACTATTCTAACTCGTTATCAATCGCTTACTAACAAGGGTCGCACTGACTGGTCGACGGTTGGAATTGTACTTTTTATTTTGTTTAATAAGAAATTAATTTCCCATTCCGATTTTCACTTTTTGGGTTAAAGTGGACGAGGGCTGCTTGAAGTTGACCAACATTCTTTATTTGTATCACCACCATGAAAATAATCACTTGTACAAAACCAAACTTGCAAATTTTTTTCTAATTACTATCTAAATATTGAAATTAATTAAGCCGATTTCTGATAAGGTGGGCGATACTTAACACTCAGTAGTAACGAACTGGCGGTAAAGGGAGGCGTAAGAAAAGTACAAATCCAATTCGAATGCGGCACAAGTTGAATACAATCTACGGCAGAAACAGTTATTGTTAAAAACTCAAATTGCATATAGGTACATAGTATAAGGATGTTGGAAGAAAAATACGAAATAACAAAACAACCCTTGTTTTATTGAGTTAGTTATATATTAGTTGGTGAACAAAACATTCCGTTTTTGGTAGTTGGCGGCTTCGGTGGCGTACTATTTTGATTTTATCCCGAAGAAAATGTTGAAAAAAAAAATAAATATATTATAAATTTACATACTGTGTTCTTTGTGTATTAAAATCATTTGTTTTACAATATCACGATCATTTAAAACATCGAAACGGATTATTTAAAGTCGTTTGGACCTAATTCGTTTGAATTTAATTTCACGGCGGAATGACTTTCCCTTTAGTACGCTACCGGTCGACAACGGTTACTGTGCACACGACGTCGCCAAATGCACTTCCTATAGTCCTCGAGGTCCTCCTCTTATCGGTGACCACCGATAGCAGTCGGCGAAACCGTGCGCAAAGTCACAGGACGGAACAAATAAATACAATAATTATTATCCTTAAAAGCTATGCGACTATTATAAATTATAAGTACACCAGACGATAGAAATATAGTACAGAGTAGGGAAAATTCCATAAATAACCGCCGTCGGCATTCAAGACGAGCACTGCTGTTGTTCGTATCGGATGCACATACCCAGGTTGTCCTCGGGATTTTCTTCCCTGTTGCCCGGCCCGAATTGTACTCGCATCACGAACGGCGTCGTGCTACCTGTAAACAATATTGAAAAACTCTTCAAACTCTAAAAAAATGTATGGTTGGTAACAAAATAAAAAAAAAAAACCATAAGAAAATTGCTCACACATTGAAGAAAAAATGTCTCTCGAAATGGGTCAAAGATCAAATTTATTAAGGCGGTAGTTCTAAAGGGTAAAATTCAATAAGAATAGTATTAAAATAATATAAACGACATAAGTTCGAAGTTGACATTTACATACTTCAGAAGAAATTCGCAAAACCAAAACGAATTACCCGCAATATTATTTAGATACATTTTCGTGATTTAAAAAGACGAGTAAGTTAATCGTTTTAATTATTTTGCTCTGATGTATTAACATGTAATTTAATATTAAGTTGTACCTATTTTAGGTTCTGAATAAAAGAGGAATGCATTGGTTTTACTGTATTCTTTTTATTTGTGCGTGTGTGTCTGCAGTAAACAACAATTATTTACTAGAGATATTATTCAGAATTTCAAGAGTAGCATCTCTTTTAAAGAAAAATTACATAGTTGGTGCTCAATACATGGTCGTTTTTTTATTATATTTGAAGTTTTCTTAATAATTTAGGAAAAAACATAGAAAAACTTAAGGAAGTTTACGGTTTATTTCTATGGTACCAAGAGGTACCAAAAATCTAAGACCATAATGATCAGAATGTATCTTTTGAAATGCCATCTAATAGAAATAATATAATGGCTATAATAGTGGTAGAAATGGCCCTTAAAGTAGTCTGAAGACAAAGACAAAGAAGAAGAAATGTTTAGATAAAGTTTTTATTGGATTAAAAGTATCTAAAATCTAGATCGATATTTGGCATCGTTATAATACAATTCTGTGTCTACCGAATAACGTTAAATTTAATTAATTTAATAGCTTACAAAAAAACCGTTTAATCAATTAACTAATACGAGTAATATGATATTCGATACACCGGTTTATTTTTAAAATAATTTGGTTTGATTAAGAACATAAAACATATTTTGTAAAGTCTACTAAACAGCTTACAAAATTGAGTAAATGATACTTTTTGAAATATTTATTGAAAAAGTTCTGCTCTATTGTTACTACTATTATACAGTAAGCACCACCCGCAGAGATGTCACCGTTTCTTTACCCTCGTTTACTTTTTAATCAGTCCAGTCGGTAGATTAAAAGGGTTTTTTTTTAATTTTATTTTGTACATGTACACAATAATATTATTATTATATTCATAAAAATCGGCATGTCGTCCGTAATTCGTCTTACTTTCGATCCGGCACGGCGTTTCTTTATCCGAGCAAAAGTTGCTACCACAGTGCAGCAAATCACATATTCCCGGTCCTCCTTGGGGCTGCGCAGAAATAAGAAAAACGGGAAAATCAAAACCCGGGTTTATTAGTCTTAAATCACAAGAAACCTGACAATACCAATGTTATTAATCAATAATTACCGTTATAAATTCTTCAGAATCACAGGGCATCATGACGCGGTCACTGCATTCCCGGAACGAGTCCATGGATACCATCGGATTGCCACCGCCACCATTGTCGTCGCCGGAACCTTCAATCCCGGTATCTGCGATAAAAGTTACAATAGTTATATTTTTGCACTTCCAGGATATATTGTAGATTGTACTACACCATATTGAACGCACTCACCCGAGTATAAGGGAGGTCCTATTTTGAACGAGTTCTCGTCACACGGTTCGTACACGATTGAACACATACCTGAAAAATACGCGGTGCCGTATACTTATAAAATTACTTATGAAAAATGATTACGAATTATCAAAAATAATGGAGTGTAAAGGAGAAGAACAGTTATTGGAGGTTATATCAAATGTTTCAAAAATGTATATTGATAATTTATATTCGCGGCTGCTAAATGAAAATAGTAAAAGTATCGAAGAATTTTTAAGGGTAGAAAAAAGCTTTAAAGAAGAAAGAAGAAAGAGATTGCCTTGACTGTTCAAATTAACTTACTTTCCGACTGCCGTATGCAAATCACGTAATCCTGGTCGGCCAAATGTCGTCCGTTGATCGCAAAATTCATCGTCTGTACTGTACCCACCGAGTCATGGAAATATTGAAGGCAACCGTCCGGTGCTCGTTGGGAAAATTCTATCTGTGTAATCTAAAATAAAAAAAAACATGAATCGAAAATTAGCCGTTCTGCACGGTTAAGGCTTTTTACAGTGATCGCACTCACTTTTATCTCCCACATCCTGTTGTAGTTGGCCTTAGTCAATCTGATATTGATGGTGATATCATCCTTGGCGTCATCCACATCGTAGTATACTGCAAATCCAATATGAAGTATTAATATAGAAATGATAACAAGAAAAAGATTTACCAAAACTAAAAATAATAGACTTCACAGTTAACAGTGTGTTGCCAATTGAAAATTGTTTAAAAATTCACTAACTCGTCACTATAAATTATTTTTTTCTTTTAAAATACTTTTGAGAAAACTTCGCTACATACTATACTAAATCAACCAAAACAATTATTTTGGTCCTCATTTCAATTTAATGCGCATGTTTCCGGTCGTTTACACGCGCTGATGCGTCGCGCAGTCGTTTGTGTTTCCGGTGGTTTCTCTCCTCGAGAATATATTTGCACACGTGTGTGCCAACAAATGTTGCGACCACCACGTGTTGCACGCCTTACTTTTATAATAATCAACGAATAATTCAGAATTTGGATGCATCAAAACTCATAAATTCGAAATTTTTAGAAAAGCAAAATTAATATACACAATTTAAAAAAAAAAAATGTATTCTCGATGCACCTGCTAAAAATAACGCCAATTAGAAAATATTAAAATCATATAGATAATGTCATCACATTAGGTAAAGCGCGTAAAACACTTACCGTGTTGGCCACTATTGAGACCGCAAATCCTCAAGTCTTTGGATGCTCCGCCTGTAACGACGAACGTGTCCGTCTCGCACACTCCGGTCTTTCTGTTGGGCTGCGCCTGCAAACCATATTAATTGTATATCACGGCGAAAATTGAAAATTCGCTATCGCCAGGCCTATAAACAATAGTATATTTATGCTTACCAGATTAAAATTGACAAAGTCCAAACGCATCTGACTGATGTCTTTGGATATCTTTTTGACGCGCAAAGAACACTCACCCACGTCGTTCAACAATCCCGGAAACTTTGGGTTTACAAAGTACGTGACGTTGTTGTCCACTTCAGCGCTACAGGACAACGTGACTGCAGCAAAACACAAGAGATACGTTTAAGTAAAGGTAAAAAAAAATCATGCGATAGGTAGAATAATTCTGTCTTTAAAAAACTGTAAGTGACAGTGTTTACATTTACTTACTTTACCCTTGTAGTCTATAAGCACTTAATATTAAAGACCAAAATTGTATGTAGATATCTATAAGCATATATAATTGTGTTTTACTGAGACTATACAGCTCTAATATTAGACGAGCTCTCTCGAAAATTCTTTTGTCAATGAACCGATACACACAAATGTTTACAGTATACAAAATTACATTTCAAGGTATTCATTATCATTAGATAATTTCATACAGTTTTAAGAATATAGGTATTATTATATTGATGTATAATAAAACATAGAATAAAATTACGATCCTTATAACGTTTTGACGTAAAAAACTTGTGTTTTGAAAGAATAAGTGCACCATTCGATCAAATCTATACCGGATATTATATACAGTTTGGAATTATCTAAACAACAATTTATATCTTGTCTAGATAGCTGAAAATTATTTTTTATTTGTATTTTATACAAATCAACTATCATTCCCAACACTAAATCCATAGGCACATTATTCATAGATTATAAATATATTTTAGCAAAAAACATAAAAAAAAATTGGAATTAAATTATTTTATTCTGTAATTTATTAATGTGTTACGCATTACGGATATTTTAGTTTTAACATGTATTTGTTTTCATTTAGATGTGTTATTTTTATTTAAAGTAAACTTAATACAGCTGTATATTTATTAGGTAGGTACACACGGAATATACATTTCATACAGGTATTTTGATTACTTTTTGAATATTAAAATTAATTCAATACTCTTATGTTTGTTTAATTTAATTACTTGTATTTGTTCTTTTTCTCCATAGTTAATGAATTTATACAAAACTTCAAATATTTATAAAATAGAATTGAATCGTTTGATGGAATTGCAAAGCAATAAAAACATCTAGTTCTTAGTATTTTAAACGAATACAAATCAGTGATTAATGTTATTACGAGTATAATCGAATTCAATTTAGGTCAAAAATTACGGTTAGTTTGTTTCTTTGATTTTTATTTTATTTTTTATGAGTTATGAGAAAAAAGTACGCCATCAATTCGAAAATATAGAAAAACTTAGTGCGACGACTCAATTTTATCGCATCATCACTCCTCTCATTTGAGAGTAATCAAGTAGAAGATATAACTATTCGTATATTTTCTCAATATTTAACTCGCTAAATAGAGGAATTGTGTATTTTATTTTTTTTCAATTGTATTTCTACTGGCAGACTAATGGATTTCTTAGCCACAATAGTCGAAAAGTCAATAATGACCTTTTAACTCGGCTTGAACTTATTATTACTGTATTAACTACATGTTTGCTTTCAACCCTCGCAGGACGAATTGTACACGAGTTGCGCGTCCGGTAATTGTTTTCGAGTCGTGTCCTTCAATCGTTAACTATATAATAGATACCCGATAGTAATAGTAATTTCCCAACGGACGTAAATATACGTTTAACCGACTCGACCGATATTACGTTCGCCCCGTCGTACTTTTTTGAGGTAAGTTTGTGAATTCGCGTGCTATAGTGACTCTCACCCGATATAATAAATAAACTCTCCCCAAATCGAAAACCATGTATCGCTTGCAGTGCAAGCGATATATATATATCGGTTCGTATGGTATAATATATGTATTGATATATTTTATACTCTAAATTATACTGAAATCTCCGTCCAAATTGCATTTCAGTGAAATAAACAAAGTTTAATAATACGGGAAAATTTTTTTTTTTTGTTTCAATTTCGTCACGACTCGCGATATTTTCGGATCAGAATCGAGAGGCGGGTATAGTGCATTAAAATAATATAATAATATAACCCACGATTTTTAATATGAGCTCTAATCAAGTGACACGTAATATGTCACTTTTCAACAGTTTGCAGTAAGTTCATTGATTTACAAGCAAATCAAATTATCTATGACCTACCCCTAAAAAAAAAATAATCCTCTGATCCGTGTAAAGCTAATTCCATTCTACTGAATTTTGAATTAACCTGTGTTTGAAATTATTGGTCTCGAGGAACTGCTTATTTATATCTATTCTCACTACACCAGTGCAGTTGGCCAACGGGCAGCTGGCTAGGTGAATAGGATCTACATTTACTTTAAAAACTCATAGTATAATTTTATCGAACTGTATCAACGTTTGAATCATACAATCCAGCCGCCAGAATATTTTAATTCGTGATTCTGTGTAACATTGGTAATTTAATTTACCTTTGATTTTATTGAATTTAATTTACTTCACTGTCGTTTTAGGGAGCCATTTAGCTGGCCATGGAATAGTACGGTGTAGTTGGTCGTTGTACAACCTGTATATTACTATCTAAAACCACGGCATAAACCTGACGTAACAAAAGTTGGGACTCAGCGTACACGTTGTGGTTAAATAAAATAACGAAAAACTAAAATTATTAATGAGCATACCTATATTTCAATATTATACTTACAGACACAGCATACTCCGAAACCCAATGCGCACGGACCGTGAGACTCACCGTTTTGTATCCTGCACTCGTACGTGTTCAAGCACAAACCTGTCGGTAAACACAACAACGTACCCATTATCACCGAAGTTGTTCAAGTTGTATATGTATATAATATGCATAGACAAATAAATATATTCGTCTAAAGAGAAGAGAAATTACTAACTGTATATTAAAATTTTAAAAAATAATAATAGCGTTTTCTGTGTTTCCGTTATAATATTCATGACTGAGATTTTATATCAATTAAAATTGCACATTTATCCGCAATCTATGATATAACCTACCCCTAATATCATTGAACATGCAATGTAAACGGCATATTTATGACTTCAAAAAAAAAAAATATCGAACAATGATTATTGAATGAAATTATGCTTATATGCAGTATAAAATTGTTCTAAATATAGGTTTATAAAATAGTAGATTCTATATTACCTACAACTTTAATTAAAAACTAGTACGTCAAAATGTAAACATATTTCAAAAAGTCCAAAAAGAAAGTACAGACCTAAGAAATTGTGAAACATGTGAATTGAAATTTTAAATTCTAAAATTCTTTACCACGAAACAAATTTGTAAGCTTTAGTAATTTGCTGATTTGAAAGCATCTCGTACAAAATATGCAAACGCTTTATTGTTTCCCAACCGTGGTAATAATGTAACGTTAGAAAAATTATGCATAATATAATCGCAATTGAAAACAATTTTACAATAATTGTTAAGTATGTACAGAACCATTATAATGTATTAATATGATTAATCAATAGGTACTATTAAAGTATGCGTAAAAACGAATTTCTCAATAAATTCGTATTATATCAATAGAAGTAGGCTTTCGATTGTACGGAAACTTATACAAATCGTAGGCAACTTCAAATTACTATTTTGTTTGAAATGTAAATACAATAATGGTGTCAGATTCGAAATAATACAAAAAAAAAAAATGTTAAATAGATTGTCTGTATGTATACGATCTATAATTGAATTTGTGCATACTAAGTTCTGAAAATGTACGTATAGATGTACAGAAATGTTCGAAAGTGGACAAACGGGCCTGCATGCCACTCAAAGCCGGATTTCCCAAATTCAACTTAATTAACAGTTGAGTGTTTTCGGTATTTGTGAAAACGAAATCGATTAATCGTAATAAGGACGGGTGTGGGAACGGTAAACCACGTTAAGTTTAATTATTTTTTTTAAGTATTTCGGTTTTCGAAAGGATATATAAAAAAATATGCCGCTTTAAAATAGTCAAAAAAATTCAAGGAATTATAATCGATACGGGCCCAGTACGTACATAATAAATGATATGTAATAAAAAGTAGCAAGAATTAAACGTTACCTGTTCTGCGGGAATCGTCGGACAAGCACTCTTCGGTCACCGGCACCGGGAAGAAATTCAAAACTGCCATCAACAAATTCCAAAAAAAAAACATGGTTAATCATAATAATATACACATAAATTGAAACACACGGGGTTTAATAATATAATAATTATAGCGGGACGATACGAATTATTATCGTTTATCGGGACAAGGGCTCGTCGAGCTACCACTACAACGACTACTCCTAATACGACTAATAAGACATTTCCCTATTTACTATGTTTACCGTTCGTCACTACCGGGCTACCACCTAAAATTACTTGCGGCTATCGGTTACACAGCCTCGCACGTATTTACAGACAAAACTCGTCGACAATGCGGTCGGTATTATTATATTTGACGTAAGGCGAGCAAACAAGGGGGAAAAAAAATGTTTTTTAGGATATTTCATCACTTAACCAATTATCTTTTTTTTTTCACTCTCTCTCGCAGAATGAGACGCGTGCCCGTTTAAACACCGCTGATGACATCCGTATAATAATAATAATAATTTTCATTCGATATAATAATATTATTATTGTTATCACGTGTCACATTATCATCGCGCGTCCATTATCTCGTCTCGTCTTCTGTGGCGTGTCACCACGAACGAGCGCGCGCGTACGTATAGTAATATAATAATATAGTACAACAATAATATAGTAATCGTATCGTAGAAATCGTCGAACTAAGATCCATATTATATTTAAACCTAGCACCGCGTCCGCACGTCTACATCTCTTCCCATAATAATAATGATATTGTTCCGTATACACATTTTTGGCGCGATGGTCAGACTTCAAGAATGTAGGTAATTTGCCATATCGCTATTATCGGAGTACGTGCTGTGCGACGACAATATTTAATGGTATCCGCTTTAGCAACGCAAATGTTATTGCATATTACACTGTTGGGGTTGTGTACGAAACTGCTTCTGAAATTTTTCTCCGAGATTTTAGTTTTTTATCACTGAACTGTATCTATATACCGTGATATCGTTAGGATAAAGCGAAACCCGTACCAAATACTCACCAAAATTCGGATTAGGAATGATTTTATCGTAAGACGTAGTCAAGCAGGAGTTACGGATATAGCAGTAAAACAACTTGAGTTGGATGCATCATGAGAAAAAGAGAAAAAAAATAGAACAGTGCCATATTCAAGACGACAATATCGTTAAATAATATTATTATTTATTTACAGTTAAACGGGATTTCGCCCTGTGGCTTGCGAGTAGACAAATAATACAACTAGCAAACGTATTAATTACTAAACGTTGTTAAACAAACGATAATAGGTATAGTCGGTCATCGTCATTAACTAACTTCATCGTGCGAGTAATAAGCTCGTATGGCTAAAAGTAGTTGGTGATGGATTGTATAAAAGGAGACTTTAAAATATTAATAATAGAGAGAAGGTTTGGAGCGGATAAATGACTCCGGAAATCAGATTATGAAGAAAACAAAGGTTTCGTGAGTGCCAGCGGTCAACAAAGGACGGGAGATTAGTTAGGTTTTATAAAACAAGATTGTAATCGCATGCGGTGGACTGCAGGGTACATTTTAATACTCAAACAACCGCAGCTATATAGAAGAATTATAAGAGAGTTAAGTGTAGACGGGAGTCAGTGAATAGGTATCGGGTAAAGAAAGAATAGCTATACAGATTTTTGGGAGAGATACGAAGGTGGATAGGGAAATTCGGACGACAAGAATGAAATTTAGATAACCTCACTTGCTTGGGATAAAGGCGAAGATAAAAAACAGAACGCAATTTAGGGTCGATGGGGTCGATGGGAAACAGAATAATATTATTATGTTCAGTGTATATTTTATTCATTTCCGCGATACGACACGTCCTTTGAAAATTATTCACATTTTCGAAAAAAAAAAATAAACTTCTCTCTTTACACGCCATCGATCATTGTCGTCAGATATAATATTAGAACTATATCGTACGTAGATATCTGGATATTTTTTTCAAAAGTTCGACTTAATGCATAGACTGCAATGACTGATTATATTAAATATTATGATATAATATAATGATATTCTTGTCAAGTCCGCTCTAGTATGAACAAGGACGACCTGACCCGTCGAGACATCGGGAAAATCGTGATGACCTGACCATCGGCCTAGATCGTTAGCCCAAATGGCTTACATTTATTTTAAACGTTGTGGTATTCATATTTAACTTTGAAAATAAAATATGTTTATTAATTCTGCCGTCGTATTTATAAAAACATAAAATTTCCACCAAAAGCCCAAATGAGGAAAGAAATTCCGTACTGTTTTTTTGGATGGTAGTAGACACGAACACAATAAATTAAAATGATCGAAAAACACGCCTACGTAAAAAGTGGCCAAATAAGATAAGAATGAAATCATATAAAAAAAGTTCCCTCGGCTTGAATTAGCATGCTTTGAAGGTGCTATTGCATTTAATATTATGTTTAAAATGTAATCAAAATGTAAATATCCCTCTCTCGATTTTTATTGGCCACGGCCTAGTAGACTTTTGGAAAAATATTTCCCGAGGAAAAGAATGTCTGACCTGAATTTTTTTAAAAAAGCGACTTGTTATTTTATAATTTGTAATTACAATAATATAGTGATCGAATTATTTGCGTCAATCGAAAGTCGATACTGTCTAAAAAAAAAAAACAATTTTAAGGAGCAAAATATGAATATTATCACACCACACAAATTATAACTACTGCACTGGTAATAGTAGAAAAAAAGTAAACAGTGTACATGAGGGCAGTTCGATGGAAAATTCTGTACAATAAATCAACAGTAATTAATAATAGACAATAATGCAATATGCAAATAAGAGACGTGTCGGCGTGTGGTGAAAATCGAATACGAAAATGCCATTCTAAAATGCGCAATATACTATGTTAATACAAACACGGCGATAAAAATATTGTTCGATTCGTATGAAAATAGGAATTTTTTTTCCTCGCATATTAATAATGGATCGATTTAATAATAATTGCAGATATTATCAATTTTTTTTTCTTCAACGTAATACCCAGAAAACACGTATCTTTTCAGGCGTATCGATAACGTCTAATATTATTTTCATTGCCGGTGTTATTTATTATTATCATTGTTATTGTAGGACTACTATAAGTTCATAATATTTATTTCGTGTTTATAGACAAAAAAAAAAAAAAAAATAAGAGGAAATACATTTTCCGTCAAGATAATGTAAATTGGTCATTTTTGTTTTTGTAAAATCACTGCGAATCGACCGAAATATAATAATATTCTTTCCGCCGTATAAAGAAAGGACAATATTTATTTAGATTCCGAACAATGGGAGGAATATTCTGTCACTGAACGACTTCGAGCAGAATAATATTGTTCCAATCGTCAACATTTTGAAAATTTGATAAGACATAGCTAGAGAGACGTACCTACATCTAGAAAATACAAACTAAATTATTGTAATAAAATATTTCAATATTGTTTGTATACGGTAAAATGTAAGAAATTACCGTATTCAATACGACGACATAATATGTTTTGTAGTATACACTCTAATATAATATTCAATTATAATATCTTTGTGAGATATCTTGTCTCGTATATATTTGATTAAACATTGACATGATATATTTTACATTTCGTTTTGATGTTTCTAGCGGTTTTCTAGACATTTTTTTTCATCGTCTTTTGTGTACGCAGGCGAATAAAATACAACTGAAAAAAAGTTGATCTGCTCTTGGGTAAGCCGCTCTTGTATATTGGAAGTTAGGAAGATGAGATATACAGAGTAATTCAGTTTGTAAACATTATATGACAGTAAATAATTGCAAACAAAATAACAATTCTGAGCAGAATGGTATTAGTAACAGATGTGTTTTTTTCCCGTATCCAAAGAACTCAAAAGTAACCCAGAAATCAAAAAAATTAAATTGATTTATCGATAGTTATCGTTAGTTTTTACAAATTGTATAAAAAAAAAAAAAGTTGGGAGTGAAGATAAAATACTTATGGGCGAAAAATTCGCATCACTTAAGATACGAAATAAACAAATCGAACAATTTTTACTAACCGAAAAAGCGTTTTCCGGGAGGAAAAACACGCACATAGTGCATCTAATAGCTTTTTCGCTACACTCATAATCTTAAAAAAAAAAATAAAAAATAATAAACGAGTTCGAATCAAACTATTTTTATAAATAATAATCAATATATTATGTAGTTATAAAAGTTTCCCCGCCGTTATTCGATTTTATAATATAATTTTTCCATTTTAAATATTTAATAACCGCTGACGATAATATTATTGATTAACCGCCGTCATTTCGTATTCCCTTCTTGTATAATAATATGCATTATTATTGACTGAAGTAGGTACCTCACAAAAGTTTAATATTTAAATTTGTACACGTATACGGTGCCAAATAAAAGAAACACGGTGTATCGTAAAATGTTTGTAAATGTCACTATGCATAACTATATTATACTCTCTGAATAATGCAATTTAATTTATTTCATTTTTACGAATAAAAACGAACTGCAATTAATTTCTGTTTTTCACTTTCTTTTTTCTTTACATTTCAGCACGCTAAGCCGATGCATAGCAATAATTGAACATACTCGAGTTTTTAAACCAATGTATACAGATTTAAACATCTACTTTAACAAAGCATTAAAAAAAATTGAAAATATTTCCAAATAATATCAATTTCCGAATCCATTATACTTTCGTTGTTAATCAAGACTAAAGGGGTAAGAACTGTACAAAGAAATTCCATGATCAAGTTTTTGTATAGCAAAAAGCGTATAATACACTAATATATAGAAGAGATTAATGACATAGAGTCTGTTTTATATCCCAAAATTCAAACCGCACGCACATTAATTTTTGTTTTTAAATCCAACATTAAGCCCAGATTAAGGAGGAGGGGGGAGAACGGCCTGGAAGCCACAAAACTCTGGGCGCCTCCGTTTTGTCCACAGTAAATTAATACATTCTTTATGCATTTAATCGTTCGATTCGTGTTTGTTGGCATTTCATTGCTTTTAATAATATCTTTTCGCTAATGACCTTTTGTGGAAACTAATATATTTACAATTATATTATTTATGTTTTTATTTTACATTAAAATTTATTCAGTTGTTATTTTTAACATTTTTGTATTAATTATCTTTTTGTGGATACAATTTAAAAATTGTCTGAATATCTTTAGCCGGGCTTGTCCAACACACCTTGAATTCAAAAAAAAAATATCTATTCTATGAAAGTAGATGGTAAAATTATTACTGTTTAGAAAAAAAAATTAAATAAAGTTTGCAGCATATTAACAAACATTCCTGTTAACCACGAGTTACTAATCGTCGATAAAGTTAAAAGCAATTTATAAAATGAAGTAAGAAAAACATATTATTATCTAATTAGTATAATTATTATTGTTATTTAGAATGTTATATGTATCACATAATCCATAACATGAACAAATATGTCATGGGTCGATCGATAAAATTCGTCCTCCGACCTCCAAGCTGTTAACCTACAAATTTACTCATAGAGTCAGTCGACTATCACGTTGTTCCATATCATAATATATCATTTATATCTAAGGCTAAATCAGAAAATGGGAAAAACTTTACGCTGTTTTGTCAACCCTTTGTTGCCTTTTCAAAATTATATAAAATACGTAGGTATACGTTGCGGGATGCATAAACATATAAGCATATAAACAGTCTAAGCCGTAATACGACACTGTTAGTGTTGGACTTAAGATAAAGTATAGCCGTATTATAATCATAAAAATAAGTAATTATAACGCTCATTTATGAAATTCGGCTTTATTATTGTGATAAAAATGAACGATTGTTATATAGAAAAAAAAAAAATACGCACTTTTTATAATATTATACAAATGGGTTTTTCTTTTTATCTATAAACGGTTCTATAGTCCGGACATTAGCGAAAATGCTTAAGTCTTACACTCTTATGTTACGTGCTTTATTTTTTTAGTCTTGTAAAACACGTTTTATCATAAAGTAGTAAACATTTCCGAGGTATACTAATAATAAATAGCGAATTTACTGAACACTATATTTCACAAACGTCTAAACGTTTTTTTTTTCTTTTACATAGTATGTCGTATTCTTTACATTGGCTTTAATAAATTAAAAACAATTAAAAAAGCTGATACTGCTGAAGGGTGCGACACTGTTGTAGGTGAGATGTTGGGAAGGTACTAAGATAGGGAACATAAAGTTAATTAATTTTTATCTGTAAGCAACGATACACCATTGATAACGAAATTCGTTTATTCATGTTAGAAAGGCCATAATATTAACGGATTTCCATTAAAATTTGATTTCAACCCATTATGAAAAAAAAATAATTTCATAACACTTTACTTTCTTATCTTTTTTTTTTTTACTACTAAGAACAACTTATAATAAACCTCCTGTTAAATTGTCAAGGATTTCCGATTGGTCAAACTATTTTAGCTACACAATGTCAATAAATAGCTTAAAAATCTCCAAAATATTTTTAAAATATTATCACATATAGGAAATGCAAGTATAAGTCTTTTTTCAAAATTCAAATCTCTATAAATATTTTTAACAACTAAACTACAACAAAAGAACAAAATTTAAAATAATGAAATCATTATTTCTGAAAAGTTTCTCGTTTTTCATACGTTTTTTTCCGGATTTGCCTAATTATTAAAAAAAACTACTGTTTTTTTAACTAACTATATCCATAATTCAACAAAAATAGTCTGTTATATTTTTTGGACTGGAGCAATATTTTTAGTAGAAAACATGAACCTTATAAATGTATAGAATAATAAAATCATAATGCTGTTAATTTGTCAGTTTTCATTTTACGTCTTTTTCCTAATTATTATAAAAACTGCTTGAAAAATTACAATTTTTTACTTCTGCAGCAACTAAATCAAAAATTCGACAAAAGAGTTCTCTTGTTTTTTTTTTCGATTGGAACAAGTTTTCTATCCAAAAAATTATTTACAGAAAAACAATTTTAAATTTAAAAAGAAAAAACACATGTAAAAACAACAGATCTCTCGTTCCATTCAGAAGCTAAAAACATTGAGCGTATATAAATTATTATAATTGTATATGTTATTGGACCTGGCCCGTTTAAAATTTAAATAAATAAATAAAATTAAATAAAAGTAATGTGTGGTATATATTTTTTTTTTACTAACGTTTAAAGTTAAATTCTTGATGAAAATCGTACAAATCGTGACATTTCAAAACCCAAATTCAGACTGAATTATTTTTCGTAATGATATATATATATAAATAGAGTTACCCTAGATATCATACCTTCTCAACTTCACTCCAACAACAGTAGCCTACCCACGAGCAGTTTCCTGTATGAGAAGCGTAGCAACGATGTACAAAACACTCGCAGGCTTTTTCAGTACGAGTTAATTTGCAACGCCGCCGCTGCTGTTGATCAATATGGTCATCCGGGTGTTTTGTTTATTTTTTTACGTTTGCACTTGACATGTTTTATGCACAACTCTTTCCGGGTGACTCGGGAGGTAACAAAAAAATATCTATGTACGTTGCGCTTCCTATTTATATATATATATATATATAATAGCAAAGCAGTGCGGTAAAGTATTTTTTTACGCACCACTATGTCAAAGTAAAAAAAAAAAAGAAATCGTAAAGTTATAGACGCGAAGTTCGACTAATAAATTTCCAATCGTCTGCGAGCTCGTCTAGCGCCGGTACACGGACACGTCTAATCTATGGAGGAGGTATTCGCATTTCCGTGGTTTAGTCGACAAGCAAAATGTATATTTCATGATTTCCATATAAACTCTCTCGAATATTACATTGTATATTTTATACTTGTGCCACGGTCGAAAAAAATATTTTTAAAATCTAGTTTTGCCCAACGCGACGCACGAGGGAAAAAAACAACAACCGCCTGCGCATAATAGTTTTAAATATATATATATTTTTTTATATATATTTTAAACGTTAATCCGTCGGAAACGCCAGCACACGCGGTAATAACCGTTTGACGTGTGCGTATGACGGCCGGCGTGTGTATACAATATTTAAAAAAAATTCTGTCAAAAGTCGCTCTTCTCGGAAATTAAAAAAAAAAAAACCCTCGATAAAGGGATTTAAACTTTTTTTTTTTTTTATAGGTAGGTAACTGACGAGTAGATAATTAAAAGGTCCGGTAGCCGCCGTCGTATTAATTATATTAAGTGTCTGCTGTTGAATATTTTAGTCGTCGGGAAATTTTCCGCCGCCACCGTTAGCCCATCAATCATCGCCGTTGACGATAATATCATTTTTTAAACGTTTTTTTTTTTTTTTTTAAATCGAACATAAAAACTTATTTTATGTTGATGCACAACAGGTCACACAGGCAAATCGGTCTGAACCCGCTGTAAAATATCGAATCTTATAAATAACTTAAAAACGACCAGAATGATGGTTTGAAAATTATACGACGTCTAGGTGGCGCTATTATAGTACAACAAAATAACAGAAACCGATACTGCGTACATTTTCGCCAAATGTTTGTTCACCAATTATTAAGAAAACTAAGAAAAATCACAAAAATTACCTCTCAACGCAACAAATGGACGAAATTTGGTATCGGAAAACATCCACCATGTTGATGGTCGGAGCAATATTTTATGGTATAAAAGTTGTTTATAGGCATGAAAAAAGTGAAAAAAAAAAAAAAACACATACACACATCATAGTAAAACCAACACCAATAATTCCTTACTACGCTCAGAATCCAAAACAATAACCAAGCGTCCGCGACGTAGGTATATACGAGATGAGTACAGAATCTGATAGTAATTCGTTTACCCGCAGACAAACACGAGACGGGCCGCCCTTATAGATACTTTGAATTCCTACAGTTAACCAAACATTATATTGTATAGAAGTACAGCGCGCGGCCATGCGATGTAAACGCCGTACGCACCGAAGCTCAACTCGATCTATTATCGGGTGTGATAATAAAATTTAACGTAACTATACCAACTATAAACCTATATACCTGTATATAATAAGTACTCATAAACAGTTATATTTTCAACAACAGCTGCCAGCTGCTGGTGCAGAATAATCCTCGATGGAAAAACAAAACTACACAACGCTGCCCCGAATACCTACAACACTCCGTTTACGGTCGAAGAGGTTTTTTTTTTTCGATAAACGCGTTTAAAAAATAAAACCCCGCGTCAGACGAACAAACTCGAACTACGGCTTATTCTATATAGGTAGTACATCTACTGTAAAATAAACGCCGCCATCGCTGCCATCCTATCACTCGTCGGTATTTGGCCGTTGAAAAAAATGAATGTATTTACAAACGCCGCGTTACAATATGGCAACAAATAAAAAACGGAATTAATCCAAAGAGAAGAGAACGTCGAAAGGGAAGATCAATCGCCTGCAGCAAGTTCGTGTTTACTGTTTTCCAATGAATAAAATTGTCTTTTTCGACCAATCGAAGTTGTTTGAAAATTTGACATAAGTTCGTTATATTAAAATGAACTCTCGACGGCAATAAAATAATCAATAATCAGATTTTCCGTTTTCCCCACCGGTATTTATACGATGGAAAAATGCTTTTTATATAAAATGGCTGTTGGGAAATATTGTTTAAAATACCGAAAAATGCCTTATACAATTTTTGTTTGTATATCATCCACTAAACATAATACGTGGTCAGTTTTCCGTTTTCACCTCAGATGTTGTTTTGGGGGAAAACGTTAAAATATCAAATCATTTAGGTACTAAATCTCTAACTTAATTTCGATATTATCATGTTATATACGTGAGAAAATATTTTTATTAACATAATTTTTCTTTTTACTATTATTTTAATATTTCGTTATATAACCATGGTATAATTAATTTGTTTTAAATGTATTGTTCTTTAATATATGTTAAATTAATATTTTGTTATTAATCATAGCCTACGCCTGATAGAATATTAGGACGTATTATAATATTTGGGGCGGTTAGTGGATAATATTATCTAACGTGAAACTTTATCACCTGCAAATATTAATTTTTTTTTTTTTCTGTGGATTTATAGAAGGTGGTATGTCTGTATAGATACGTACGAGATTATAAATTCTTCGGGGAACGACATCGCGGGTATTATAGCTCCACTAAAACCTACAGGCTATAGTATTATTATAATTTTCAACGACAGTGAAATTCACCACGCGTATTACAGCCCAGCCCTGCCTTTATATAGCCCATAATATATTTTAATAATATTATTATTATGTTAATCGCCACGGTACCGTTCCCGTCCGACCGCGTTGTAGACTTTCCATCGATCGCACGACTCGCTTATAATATTATAATGGGGTCCGAACGACGTTATATTATTATACACACATTGATGTACCCACGTGTCGGGATCATCTGGATAAAATCATCTAAAATATAATCTGAATAACAATACAAAATATTTATATATATATATATATAAATATTTTTTTATCTAGATAAAATCGAAATACAATATTGGCTATATCTTCGTCTTGATAGTTATTTCACAAACATCAAACCGTAAACAGCAAAACCAAAACTAATGTTGAAACCTAAACGAAACACGAAAACGAATTTATTCTTGCTACTATAATATTATTGTCGTTAGTAAATTGTGAACTACAATCAGTATTTGAAATATTAATAACATATTTAAGGAATACTTAAATAGTCAAGCCACAATTCAACTGCGGTTTATAGTTTAAGCATTTCTTAAAATAAATTACCGTTGAAAAATAGCGGTGCGACAAAAAATAATTTTAAGTGTAGCATTAAAGGCAAATCTAAATAAATAATTCAATATAATAACGACCGAAATCAATTTCAATAAAAAATGACATTATTTATTATATAGGATTATTATAATATTATTGTTATAATATACCTAATAATATTTTATTGTTGGAAAATCACCTGTGCAGTAAGGTACTCTAGAAAATAAAACATGTACGTCTGGCTTGTTTAAATTTACATTTTCTATTTTTTTCATACGGTAATACTGCTGCAGTAAGTAGTGGCAATAATATTGCGGAGTATAATAATTAATTCATATCACGTCATCGGGTTTATACGTTTCTTGGATCGATTACGCGTTCCCTTGCCGACGAAACACCCTCTAAAAGCTATTATAGAGCCTCCTGCCCCAGCATATCCTATTCTCCCAGTTCTGTATTATCTCAAGCACGTCTCTTACGAAGATTTCACGAGGCTTTCGTGTTGAGGTGACGAGGCATCACGACTGAAAATATGAATTACAGATAGAGTGTCAGAGTGTCATAGCCTTACATTAAATTCTCCTCTATATCCTACCTTCTCAACTTTTCACCTACAACAGTGGCACACCCATCGTGCAAAGTATGTCCGTCTTCTTTTCTTTTTATTTTACATTCTGATCTAGTCTAACTAAAAACATTTTATTGGACCGATTGGAGAGTCGTCGTGTTTGTAAAGCGACAAAACACAAATAATATTTGATTTGGTGTATGCCAAAAGGAACTTCGGCTCATACCAATTACTCACTGATTTAGTATTTTAGTAGGTATAACACTAATGTACTAAAAACGGACCTTAAACCTTATCACCGGCAATCATTGGGCTAATATAGCCCAATAACGGTGAGTTTTTTCATTTTATAGCAAATATAAAAAGAGCTGAGCAAAAAACAAATTTTATTTCTCAAAGTGGAATGTGCACGGTGGCCGGTAGGACCCTTTTTCCATGAACCAGATCATTTATTGTGATATATGGTTTTCTATTATTCATTCTACACGTCATATCCTATCTTTTTGAGAGACGTTTTTCCGATGTGACATTATTTCATTTTAACGGTATATAAAACAGTCAGCGCTATATTAAATTTAAATGTAATAATAATATTACAAAAAAATACGGTTGAAAAAATAAATGGACATTTTATATAAACTTTATGTCACATTATCCTCAAAAGTAGAGATTATTTTCTTGTATTATGTCTGATATATAGATTTATATATGTATATAAATATTTTTTCTGCTACTTTTGGACACTTTTAGTGGCGCTATATGGACCAAATTAGCTCAAAATTAGGAATAACATTTGTTTCATAAATTTATTGGAGTAACAAAAATGTCACGTTTCAAAATAAGTGAAAAAAGGGGTTAAAATTAGTGTACATATATATATGTATGTATACTAGTTTTGTTGTCGAGTATATGTCTTTAGAAGGTTTCAACTTCCAACCCTCGTTCCCACCGTCTTTGTATGTTCGCAACATTCCTGAAAACTATACTCTACCTATTTTGATGAAACTTTTTCGTTCAATTACTTATCATTATTGGAAAATTATAATATAATACTTTGATAACTAAACGTGGAAGGAATTAGTAGACCACGAAATAAGACAGGGAAAGGGTAGAAGTGATTAATGAAATATGTCTGTTGAATATAAATTTTAACTAAATAACTAATTTGATTTAATTCAGTATAAAACATGATATTATTATAAATACCCTTGTGAATTTTTGGCTAGCATAACTATTTTAGACAAATTATAATAGTTTAAAAAAAAAATGAATAAATAATTATTATAATGGCAACAAATAGCTGAGATCTGATCATGGACATTTTTTTTTTTTTACATACAAATCGTGTTTCAAAAATCTTTTGCGTGTTAATAAAATTGGTGTTATAAATAATTACCCAATAGCATTTGTACAAAAATTGTATGTTATTTTTATAATATTAAATCGAGTAAAAGTACAGTAAGTTATTATAAGAAACGTAATTGTATAAGAAACACAAGTATACAGTAATTTAATTTCACTTCATTTAATTCGAAACAATATTATTCTTTTGTACGTCAATATTAATCGCATTATTTTACGCGTGTATAAAAAATATTGTGAAAACTACAATAATAATATTTTGATGACCTAACAGAATCTGAATTGAAGATTAAATGTTTCCGTGTTTTGCGAGATTTTTAATAAATTAAAATAAAAACGGAAAAAAAGAACATAATATACTAATACAGACGATACTTTAAGTCTAAAATGACTATACGTTTATTAATTCATACTACGCACTCGATTTTTAACATTTTAACGTGCCAATTGTATAGCGTACTCAGAATTCCTGTATTTTAAAGGATCGTTCTTTATAATGCTGAAATGTCCGATGCATTTCCGTCTAGTGGTCTTAGGAGGATAAATATAATAATCTGATTTAATATTATTTCAATAATTTTTCCGTGTGATGATAATTGGCAATTTTGAAAATCAACATTTCGTCAAATTTTTTATGTTGATTGGTCACACTATCAATGATCGCATAAATCTAAAATAATTAGGTTTCTATGAGGTTAACTTATCCACATAGAATAAAAATATAAGATACAACGGCACTTATTAAAACATAATATACAGTGGTCATTTATCAACTGTTTACGTTTTAATCAAACATAAATTTTAAAAATAATGATATTGTTATACCACTGGCGGTAAAGCGTGAAAATTTTCCGTATTTTTATTTTGAAAAACTTAGCACCATACTATTATACTTATAACTGAACTTAAATACTCCATTAATGCAGTAAAAAATGATATATCGGTAAACGGTTTACCGCGAGATGTTTTATACGTCGGTACGTATTTGTCGTCAAGTTTTGATAAAGTTTAATACGCGTACTTTATAACAGAAATAAGCGTAGTTACCTAAAAAAATAAATATATAAATCTTATTTATTTATTTTTACTTTTTCGGTATCCATTTCGTCTGTGCACCGAGCCGTGTCATCAATAAGAAAAAAAACTTTTTTTTTTTTCATAATATTATAATATGATGTATTCTGTATAACTATAGTACTTACATAATATTTTATCCTAAAAATACTTGCGTTAAAAAAGAAAAAAACGTTATCGGATAAATGCGCTTATAAGTTATAACGCAGTTGCTTTTAAGTACAAATGGGATCTACTCGCATACGGTCGACTGCAGCATTATAATAAAATATTATACCTATAGGTACACTAAGTTGTATTTAATTTTTAAATTTAAAACCCACACTGTAATACAATAATTTTCAAGCAACTCAATAACCACCCATATTTATACGATGTTTATCAGTCGTTTTCGAACATCGGCAAGAGGCACATTTGTGTGCTTTTAGGGCAATAGTTATTCTGGATACAATAATGTAACAATAGCATTATACAATCAAATATTTTTTTAATAAATTCGTTTAGAATCTATTTGGATAATTGTCCACGGCAGTCAAATCGATTGAATATTTTAAATATGATATATGTATTGTAAAGGTAAAAAAATAGTAGATATAAACATAGATACTTTGCATAAGGTTGCATAGACCTCTGTTGTAAGTTGGAAGTCGAGCAGGAATAGGATTGTATAGTTAAAACGTTTTTTTTTTTTTTTTTTACAAACATACACTTTTCAACTTTAATTACAAATAGAAATTAACAATATTATAATATTAGTTACGATTGTTTACTAACCATGTGAAAAAAAAGACATATTTTGGTATCTAAAACTAAATTAGGTTTTTCGGTAAGTACACTAAGTCTAAAATTATTTTACTACTCTTGAAATAAATATTATGTATTCATTTAAATTCACTATTCGAACATATTTAATTCTAATCAGTGGCGCAATTAGCTCATGAACCTTGGGAGGGCTTGAGTCCAACTGAATATTAAATAAATGTGGTGCTCGGGGCACCCACGGGGCTCGGCCTCTACATTGGGGTATTTCAGACGATCCCGAAGGGCTAAGCACAGTGCTCCCTAACTTAGACTCCCTAACTGATTATAATTTCACAACTGATCACAATTCAAAAAATTCAAATTAATAATGCGATTAATATTTTTTCCAGCAGAAGTTTTTTATTCACAAATATTGTTAAAATGACGAATAATATTTTGCTATATTTTTTGTGGGCCAGAGATATTTTATTTCAACATGCATATTATAGTGTAGATTGTTTGGTCCACTGCGTAAATTTTCGAAGAAATAAGTTTTTCCATTTCCATTTATTTATCGCGCTGAGAGGTGGTCGATTAATTCTATGTCAAGTGATGAGAAATGTAATTTCACAAAGTTAAAATTATTCCCTCAAACCTATCGAGTGTAGGGGTAGTTTATATTTTTTTGTATTTTAGATTCGAGCGTAGCGTGGGAACTATTGGTTTTACAATGCTGTTTAGTTTTTATTTTTTTTTTCTTCTTTGTTCTAGTCTGTAGACACGTTTTTTCCTAGTGAACTTGCTTCAATTTGTACGTGTAGCAACTTTTCTGAAAGCTCATGTTGTCATTATTTTATAAAAACACGGACGACGTTTTCTACCGGAAAAAATGATTCAATTGAAAATTAGAAAATATCTTTTTTTTTTACTTTTTTATTTATTTTCTCACTATATCATGACCAAAAATATGGCCCATTTTGAGCTTTTAAGTAATTTAAATTTTTAGTAGTTCTTTTGTTGTAATTCGGTCATAAATACACGTAGAGACTTGAAACTTGATAATAACAGTTATATTTGGCTCAACTACACATGATAAAATTTCTATAATTATCGAACGACTTTTTTATAAACGTTTTGAAATCAAATTTAAACGAAAATCGCAAAGAAAATAACGGCACTTTTATGTATTGCTGAACTGCGCTCGGAATTGTCTATTGTCAAGCAATGGTTTATCATTGCTTACAGATATAAATGAAATATCCTTATGTATCCTACCTTCCCAACTTTTTTTTTTTAAAAAAATTATTTCATATCACGGAGATATATTTTATTTAACTGAAAATATAATCTGTGATAAGATGATTTACTTAATATTTTACTATCGAAACATATTAAATAAAAATCAAAATTATTTTGCTTCAGAGTATAAAAATATTTGTGATCTATTCCATTACTGTTCATTCAGTGTCATAATTTTAGCTATTTACACAAGTCTCAGTGGCAATCATGATGTCTATCCTTCAGGTCCGAGGAACTCGCAACTTTGCTAGTTGTAATATTTATCATATTGTAACGTTTCTAAAATAAGATGTTTCGAGTGCAAAAAACCTCGCAAGAAACCCAATTTTTATCAAAATTATAATCTAAAGGGAATTATCATCTATTAAAAATAATTTCTACGACTTGCATGAGTGATGGCTGCTGCTACGCTTCTAAAAATCGGAAAAAAACTCGTAACACGTATATTATTATAGTATATTATACATTATAATAAAATAGATAGAATTTCTTCAAAATCAAAATATCGCATATAGCCATCTGTAGTAAGTTTTTTCATAAATGGAAAATGTTTTGGAATATTTACTATACCTTTATTTTATAATATCGAAAATAACGTCAAAGTCTAAATGCTTCAAGTAGCAAACAAGATTTTCAATCAAACTTGATAAAAAAAATAATAATATATATATTTGTGTATAATATTTCAGGAATAAGACCATTGTGTTTATTTTTAATTCCCAAAGTTATTTACAACCTGTATACTTACTGTATTAAAATGTGTTGTAATTAAACTCAATTCTCCAGTATGACATGAAGTGTATTATCGTAAAACTTCACTTTTCTTTCATTTTTTTTTTTTTTAATGAAATTACAAGACAGCTATTCGCAAAATATTTTAACATTTTAAACACCATGACGTCTTCGTCGGACGATATATCATTAAAAAGAAAAAAAGATTACGCGAGCGCACACTAAAAAATAATATTCTCCTTTTATTTAAAATATTTTATCACGGTCGATAGAACTCTAATTTTCACTTAAATGCCACAATTAACGTTTTGCACGACGCGATTTTGTTATATCACCCGTTAAACGCGTAGACGGAAACGATAAAGTGCGAAAAGCCCTTTTAATATAAGCTAAAAAAATGTTCAAGTACAAAATGGTTTTTTTTTTTTGTAAAATTAAAATTGAAAAAACATATTTTTAAAATTTCATTAAAATATTGTTATTTGTATCGATTTAAATAGTTTTCCTTCGTTCTCCATTCCGTATAATAGACAAATGGACAATTGTTCAATTTTGATAAATTTCCTGATAAACGCAAAATTGGGAAGAAAATCGGGACTCTGGACAAAAATATGTTTACATTAAACTGGAGTCCATAGTTGGACTCTGGATTAGTGGCGTTACAAGGACGTTTGATTTTTTAAATCAATCTCTCCGTTTCACATGACAGATGATTCGATAAAAGACTATTTATAGCGTATCTAAGAACAAATGTTTATCTACTGAAATGTGCTTACGGGAGGTAACCAATCGATTTTGGTGTTTAGTAAAGTAGTTTCTAACATCGAATATGTGAAAATTAAAAGCCAAATCCAGTAATTAAAACCATTGGTACAATTCAATGTGCTTCACTCAATCGGTAACGCAGAATATTTCAACCGATCTATTCAAATATGGTGTTAAATTTTTAAAAATTGATTCAAAATGTCTACTTCAGTAACTCTGATTTTCCTAAATTAATCCAATTGAAATATTTTGTAAATATCATTTGAGTGAAACGTTGTGACTTATATAATAAATTAATATACCTAATATTACCTGGTCGATTTTATTTCAAACATGTTTTTATTATGCGCGTAGGTATCGTTTTTATATCTATTAAAAATTTAAATAATAATAATACCAGTTCGGTATTAAAAGTTTCAATACTGATTGAATTCATTCGTTGAATTAAATGGACATAATACCGCTCAGTGACGTGGCGAAAGGGTTTTCGATACCCATCATTGTACATACATGTACATGGTTGCGATTGCAGAATGGATGGGTGCAGGGTAGTAAGAAAAATGTCAATAATAGTAATTTGATATTTATTAATATCAATATCAATAAATGCATTTCTACTATTTATCTACACTTTTTAATCAAAGTATTATATAGATATATAAAGAAATTAAAGAATTATACTGCAGAATTTTCTAACTTGAAACCATGTGATTATCAAATATAGGTACTTATAACCTACCTATTCATTTGTTTTCCTTGTTAATTGCTGTAAGAATACTTATCCAAGTGAACAAAAAAAAAAGGACGGACATATTTCCCACGTGGGTGCAACCACTGTTGTAGGTGAGAAGTTGAGAAGGTAATTACAGAAGGTAAGTACAGAAGGGAATTCAATGTATATCTGTTATGAACAATAAACCATTTCTAACGAAAAACCGATTCTGAGCGGAGTTTAGTTAATAGTAATGCTTTGTCAATAGTATATATTGTATATTATGCTAAAAAAATTAAATGGGTATTATATATATTTTCTATGATAATACTATACCGATTTTTCCGTTTTATCTACGTTTTTCCCAGTATTCTCATAATTTTTCTGGTTTTTCAAAAATTGATCTCCATAAAGTACCTTCCCAGTTAGATTTCTTTTTAGCGAAAGTGTTATTATTATAAACCGGAGAAAAATTGCTGGTAGAAAATTCGTTCACAGAAAATAGAGTAATATTTAGTAATATTTTTTAACTGATTCCTGCGATTCTTATATTTTGCCGTTTATCCTCCGTTTTTTTTTCGGTTTTTCCATTGGTTGAGAAAACTCCCGAAAAAATAGAAAAGCGACCTCCTTAATGTACCACTCTAAGAAAATTTTCTTTCAGAAAAGATTCTATATCGTGTACATCATAGTAAGCTTTCTGGTAGAAAAAAAGCTCACATAAAAAAAAAATTAATAAATAAAGATCTTTGTAAAGCTCATACATTTTTAGCTATAATTTAGAATCTAAAATTAAAAATTACAGAAGAGCTATTTTATGAATTTTGAGGATCATTGTTTATAAATGTTCGACATACTGCTGAATTATCGCTCATATGTAAGGGATTTACTTGTAAAAACATTTTTAAAAAGTGGAAATTTGTTAATTCGAAAATATTAAAATTCGCTATCGAAAAAATGTACAGATAGTCTCGTGTGACAAGTATCACAAGTGTGACGATAAATTAAACATTTTACGATAAACGATATTTTGCACAAAACAGCTCTATTTTTTCCACATTCATACATTGTAGAACTATCGAAATTGCAAAACATATTATTATTAAGGAGAAATGTACGTGTGTTGCGATGTGTTTTTTTTTTCTTTGTTAAAATAAATACAGTTATCGGTTTGCAGCATTCGGTTATGTGGGTGTTGTATTGTTATTTACTTATAGAACATTAACGGATAGCGCTATCAAAAATAAAGGGTACGCTACCACTCAAATAATGTGCGTTGTAAAATTTCGGTCACTGTACTATAAATACAGAAAGATTACAGTTGTAACAGTTTTTACAATCGAATTACAGGGGGTATTACGTCCTCTTAATCCGTGTAATAATTGGGTGAGAATTTGATGGCTTATTGTAACTATTGAAAAAAAAAAAGGGCCGAGTTGTGTAAACAATACCTACTAGTCGTTAATGTGTTTTTAATTGAATACATACAAGACACGAGAAGTAAGTAAACAATGATACGAATCGAAAGAATGAAAAGTAAAAAAAAAAAAAAAAAAAACAAAAAACCACACGTGTAGTAATTAATCTCGCGCCCTAGATGATTTATACCGAAGGAAATCGCATTCGAATTCATCGACGATTACAAGGGGTTTTTCTCTGTCGGTAACCGTATATGCGTGAAGGATAATCAATTAAAACGGTTTTTTTTTTATCAAGAGAACATTTCGCAGTTGTGTGTTGTTTACTAGGTAGGTAGGTGTATTTGCATTATTCGTACGGCAAACCGCAATAGCCCACAAGACTCGTGCTACACAAATCGCGAAACCGTGTTCGTAGTGTAGTTTTACATAATAATTTTGTATAAATTATCATAATCAAAGCTGGGCAATTTAATGAATAATATTAATTAAGTTATGTTAACAGTTATGTTTATTGGAGAAAATTTAACGAATTAATACGTTAAAAATGTATATTGTTTTATTAACTGACTAAGTAATAGGTCATAATAAGTTAATTTCAAATTTCAAATAAATTATTAACATTATTAATTTAGTTAAATTTATATTTTATTTTATTGTGAAACTATTATCGGCATATACCTAATAAAAATAATTAAACCTAAAGTTTGGAATTTACTAAAAACAATGACGGCTACTGTGTTCAACTTACACGGGAAATTTATCGCGGGAATACTAAACAATGGTTATTTTCGGGACCCCACATATGCTATTCATTAAAAATATATACAGAGTTTCCTACTGCAGTGATATCCGAATGCTAATTACTTTGTTAATATTCAATATATATATATATATTTTTAATCAGATTTTGTGACAGGGGAACACGAATGTAAAGAAAAATTAAATTTATCAACGAAAATAAAAATAACTTTATTTTTTCACTCGTTAAAATGTTCGAAATTTCAATATTTAGGGAAAGGTGTGAAAAACGAGAGATTACCCCGTTATTAACGGTTATTACTAAGAAACTATTGATCGGATATGAACACATGGTATATTTTACAAAATTGTCAAGTTATTCAGTGATTGAGCGATTAGAATAAAACTTTAATTTGTGTCCGCCCGACACAAAACCCGATTGAAATAAGTTCAGATTACACTGTAAGATGCATTGTATATTATAATAAGCTGATCAATATAAAACCAAATAAATTCTATCATTTCAAATAATTCGAAAAATAAAAGAACATTTTGAAGATGTTTAAAACTATAAATCGAAAATAATAGTAATTGCTTTGACATTCTCGTGTTTCCCAATTATAAAGAAAACCGAAACATGGCCTTCTCGATGCAACAAATAGACAAAATTTGATACTAATAACTACCCCTGAGATTTATGATCGAAAAAAGATTCCCGGTAAAAAATATGTTCATACGCACAAAATATTTTTTAAAAAAAAAGCACGTTTTATTATTATTTAACTTGAAATGACAGGATATCCGCATGTACCATCTCCGTCTTACAAACGCATATCTAAAGCTAATTTTCGTTCCGCGTTACTTTCTGTTAGTGCTAATATTAGAATGAATTGACCTACTATCGAGCTTAAATACAAGAGCAAATATCTGTGTTTTATGTCGGTTTTTCTCATATTTTAATTTTTAAGCAATATTTAAGCATTTTAAAGAAAAATTGTAATATTTTACATAATTATCGTGTTAGGTATCTCGCTTACTGATATTAATACATCGAAAAAAAACCACACAGTACAAACATGAATCGTGTTTTATATTCTATTTATGTCTTCTTTATCCATATACAAACTACACTTTGAGTTTAACAATAGGTCGATTCATTATAGTTTGAACATTGAACACTGACAACAAAAAATTGTCCATTCTAAACTTCGATTTGCCACGTCGTACGTTTGTGTGACAGAGACGCACATAAATCCTATTTCGACGTGATTTATTATAAAATATATTATCGGAAATCTTTATTTATTAAGTTGATAAAACAATTAAAATGTTAATAAAACATCAAAAGTTAAAAGCTATACAATAATAAAGAGAACGTGATACTGAAATTTATAATGCTTTTTAAAAAATGGTCACACAAAAAAATTATAGTCATTTAAAAAAAAATCAAAACTTATACGACTGATACATTTTTGGATGATCATTTTTTTCTCTTTTTTAGCATAAATTACGTACAACCCTAAAAAATGCTTTCCTTTATAAATACGCTTGTTATTTTTTTGTTTAGACTACATCATTTTAACCTAAATACCACAATATAATATGCTATAATTAGGTTTAGGAACTACTAGCAATTTGCATATTTTTTCTGAATTATGTAAAAATAACAGAGTCAAAGAGAAATCCTGTTCATGTTCTACAGAATCTCAATCCAAAATTGAATTGTACATATTTTTGCATAATTTAATGATTTTTTCTCATTAGAGCATATTAGCTGAATGCAGCTTTTAAGTGCTATAGTGCTATAACAGGCCATTAATAAATTCATCTATTTATAAAGACGATTTATCGATCTTGTATGTATAATCGAATAATATATCATATTTCTCGCAGTGAGTCCTACTTTTACCACCGACTAGATAAAATGATATAAATTAGACCAATTGTATAGTTTGTATACATACCACGTTCCATAATTTTATAAAACTGTTGTGTTAGTCGCCAGCTTTAACTAATTATTAATAAATGAGTCATATATCAATTTTTCAGTTAAATGAAAAACATCTAAAGCATATTTATATGATTTTTAGAAGTCCCTAAGCCTAATTACATTTATTAACGTTGTTTCGCCGTGTTACCCGTGAATGCGGGTAACGCGTTCTCTTAAAAAAGTTAAATCAAATTAATCGATTTGGCTTTTAAATTTTCGACCCGTTAACGGTGATAACAATAATAATATTTTGTTATTATTGTTATTATTATTATTATTATTGTGTGTACACGGGGATCGTGGTATTACATCGCGGTATTACGAGTGACCGCAATATGCTCGTACGGGAAAACGGTCCACGCTTTCAGATTCCGCGGCCCGCAAGAAACGATAAATCATTACGAGTAATGACGATGATATTTCAAAAGTCCGCACGCGGGCGTGTGTTATTTTAAAATGTAAACGATCCGCGCACGGACATCTATCAACGGCGGTGGCGGCAGTTGTAAAATCGATTCCGGGAACACCGTACCTATACATATTATAAACTATACAGGGTGATTTTCATATCATGAACCGGCGATTTCGGAGACTCCGGAAGTTTGGTTATATTTATACATTTTATAAATGTCACCCCTGCCCTGCGTTTTAACAATAAGTATTTGAACGTGTACAACCATTGATTATTATCAAAGAACAATCCATAAAAATATTTTCAAGTTCGATTCGAAATATTATACCCGATACACAATATTATGAACTATACTCGAAAAAAAAAAAAAAAAATTCAATTTAGACCAGAAGATCGGCAACTGAATACGATGTTCTTGGTAATCGATTCTAATCACATCACATTCTTGTCACAATAGAAAAAATTATCATGACGATGTATGTGACTATACCTACTACTAACTAGAATTATAAAAGCAACCCTAATGTGATAAATACAAATATTGAGAGGTTAACTTTTATGTGTATTTTAAAAAACACGGACAGATTGTGGGCAAGTATTTGTCTAAGTAGTCTAGTTATTTAAAATAACTATAATGGGTGACTAACATGAAACGTATGTGTTAATTTTCAAATTAAAATGTACAAATTATTGTATTGAACAAATTAAAAATACAAACATATAATTATCAATAAATTCAGTGTATTATTATTTTATATACCTAGTCATAATTTTTGAATCCTTTACACTATAGTGGCCATGGAACAAATCAACTTCATTTTCGTTACTTAAAACAATACTACGGCGGATAAAAGGTTTTATTTTCGTATGAATATTTTGCTTTTACTAACACAAAAATATCACATTTTTATAATTGTAAAAATATAATATGATTATGATGATAGTTTTATGTGGTTATATGAGGAGTGAGAAGCGCGATTTTGTTGTTAGAAGAAAGATACCTAACCAATGAGTTTTACCGTATTCGGCTGCGACGCAACAGCGTCTAGCGATACTCATATTGCGACCGTTTGGGAAGAGTAATGTATTTCATAATATCAATTTTTAGAGATATGTAAATCATATATTACGTTGAAATGATGGCGTCAAAACGTATTTTACAACTATTAAAGACATAGTTTTAAAATTTATTAAAACGGTTTAACTGAATACCAGAAACCTGTATATTATAACCCGTTTTTCTATTATGTCCGATGTCCATAGTTATGAAAATGGTTTGATGAACAATTATAACATTCATAACATTTGTAAACCGATAGTATACAAATTTAAATAAGATGTACTTCACCATTTAATTTTGAAGTAAATATTTTATGGAATGTAAAATAAAAAATAAACTGAGACGTGACTTTTCAAAATAAATCGTTATAATTATTGGCCGTGAAGCGCACAAACAAAAATTAATTTGGTGATAAGGTTTCAAAAACGCATTGAAATATTATTCATTTGATTAACCGTTTTAAACGCTTAAAACCGTTTTTTACATAATGCGAGCGTTTTAAAGTGGTTTACATGACAATAATAAGTTTTCGGTTCAAAACCTTTTCATTTCAAATCTTTTTAACGGCATTGTATACACGTACCTATTATAATAAACGACCGAAAAATACAGCGAAAATCGAATTTAATCGAAAACGCTGGTTTGTGATAATATAATCATCCGGTACATATGAATATGCGTGTGTGCGTCGCTTATACGGTAAAATTCACTAACACACTTTCGACGACGTGACGTTGTCATTGGGTAAAATATTAAAATTCCAATTAATCTCCGAATCGGGTCGCGCGTTCTCCCGACCACCTCATAATATTAGTATTATATTTTATATTAATATTATGACTGCCCAGTCGTCAAATGGAAAATAAAACAATAGCGTTGCGAGCAACCGGAGAAATTTTGCCCTACATACTTGAAATACGTACTGCGCTTCTGTTATTATGTTATTAGAGTGTGCCTAGTTTATATTATATGGCAAAATCGTAATTGTTTTACTGCACTATCGGAAGCCGGTCACACGCACGATTGTGTTTGGGGCGGTCGACGATCTCAATAGAAATATATAACGAGCATGCTACAATTGCAGCATTTTAATGGAAGATGTTTATAGACAACCTCAAACCTACAATGTCACGAGGTGTGTTCGAAAAATAATATTATGAAAGCCAAAAGCTATCTGGCAATGTTTCATATAGTATCTACTTAGTTATCACCTAATATTATATCCTTGATTTTCCCCTCTATTCCCCTCTGTTCCGTACGATTTTATTTTATTCTCCTAGAACAAAATCCATTTAAACGGAACATATGAACTCACAACGATTTCAAACCAAATCACAGCATTCTATGGGTGATGAATATCTTAATCATGAGTTAGAATAGACTGGAAACGAGTGTCGTGATGTAAAAAAGGGACTATATATTTTTTTACGTAGCCGTTCTAACCACTCGTTACGTCCCTCCGTTATCCGGTCATCATCTCGTTTCCAATCTATTCCCCGTGCACCTCACGAGCCACGAGAGGTCCGTTTCCATATCACCATAAAGTTATAGAATGATATTGACGATATTTCAAAACTTTGTGATATCAAATACATTTCAATAAAAATAAAACCTAAAATATTAGATAATAAATTGTATTTTATTGTTCATTGTCTATCAAACGTTTGTATTGCAACCAACATTTCTTTCCAATCTTTTTTTGATTCCATGATTTCTTTCTTGTGTTCGAGCAAATTCGATTGTGAATTAGCCCAATTAGCATACTTAAACCTGAATGTTCATGAGAGATATTCATATTTGCTAGTTATTCGATAGTCTTTTAGGTGACAATAAATTACCCCTCATAAATAAGGATACATAATAACGATTAGTCAAAATCACCTAATCCAGCACGTGTGCCCAACAAAATAATAAAAAAACTTAAAGAGTATTATAGGTTCATAGGATAAAATAATGAAAAAGTACTTTAAAAAAAAATAAACAAAAGAATATAAAATACAAAAATAACGTTGAGGTTTCCAGTTAGATTAATAAATTATATGGATTATACGAGAAAATATACATGCATTAAATGACATACAACATTGGCACATCCATCTTGATTATCAGCTCTTTTTTTGTTATATTTTATTGAGTTATAACTTATAATGATGAGTTTGTGTACGTCTCCCGATTGTTCAATGATTACGTTTCTATGTAATAGCAAAACCGTAATATTTGGTTTGATATTTTTTTTTTTTTTTATAACGAAATCGGTATATTGCGTGTTTGGTTAGATATTCCATTTTGTTAATAACTAAATGTATATTGAACATTGTGCACATAAAGGTGAACTAATATTACAATAACAGATAAAAAAAAAATGTGTTTACTTGAACCGTTATCATTCATAAAAATAAATCGAAAACGATTTTTTCAAACGTTTTCTTCTCACTTTTACTCCTCTCTATAACTCTTATACATCTGAAAGAAACAAATTTTCAATCCCTATCGAATATTAGATATATTGTTTCAATTTGACGGGATAGCGAAATGCTAATTATTTTAACCAATGGGTAAGAAAATAATGAAAACAAAAAGAAAGTTTTTTTTTGGATTCAATAAATTTTTTTATAATTATTCTATGTTTGGAGGACACAAAAAGTAGCTTAAAACAGATGCACATCACGTCGTAGCCGTTAATATTTAAAAACTGGTTCGGATGACTACAAAAACGCATTTTGATGAATGCATCAAGGTTAGGTCATGTCATGGTAGGTAATCGAATACCTTTCTCTGTAAATCCCAATGTTCAACTTTGTCTATTTTTTTTTTTTTTTTAGAAATCATAAACATACTAGTATAATATTAGAAAAAAAAAACTAGTTTTAACATCGAGTAAGGTATAAAGACTATAAATCTAATCGTGGAATAAGGATTTAATCAATTTATTATCCAATATAACTATTTAAAAAAGGTATTCAAATATTTTTATCAAACTTAAAGGTGAGAACATAGTATGAGTTTATACGTTGGTTTCTTTCGATATAAAAATTGTTAAGCAAGAGTTTAGGAAACACTACAACTTAAAAATCATTTAATCTCGCTTAAAAATATATGTAACAACGTGCAAACACAGAATGTGTTCTAACCTTATTAAATTCGATTACAAACAATTCACTGTAATATCAAAACTAACAGCATAATATTGATTCTAATAAATTAAATATTGACATTATCCAATTTTCAATATAAGCCGTACATACATATCGTATATATAAGATGATCAATCTTCGATAAGGTCCTCATTATCGAGAAAAGTATTAACCTTTTTGGATACATTTTTTTTTTTTTTTTTTTTATAATAGTTGTCAATTGCTTTTTTATTAAATTATTTAAGAAACAAGAAGCTCTAAAATGTTACATTATCATTTTTTTTTTTTTTTACCATTATTTAATGAAACTACTACCTAATTTTATAAATAGTAACCAATATTAAAAATTTAAATCTTGTGCCGTCACGGTCACACAAATTATGTTCCACTACACTACCTCTAACCAAACTCAAAAGTAGAATAACTCGTCAGCGATTTGATAAAAATTAAAAATGTCATCAACAAAATATAATTAAACTAAAACTTTATTTATTTATGAAATTTTAAATTTAAAAGTTACCATTAGAAAATCAAATATGGAGTAATAGTTTCACCCCCCAAAAATAATGGTGACAAAAATTAATGGCTATGTAATATTTTAGAGCCACTTGTTTCATGAATTATCCAAAAAAAAAAGCTAATACTTTTAAAGATAATGAGTGTTTTATCGAAACTTAATCTCTTGGAAAATTAAACGTTTTTGGGAGATTGGTTTAAGTTAGGTTGGATAGACTGTTTTAGAAGGTATAAAATAAAAGTTTTTAAATTATTTATGGTATTTTAATAAAAGCCACTATAAATCGATACAATCAAAAGACAATTCTAAGAGGAGTTTAGTAAACTGGTATAAGGTTATAGTATTATTTTCCTGTTTTCTGTCTTGCAGCCAATGATCCAAGATAATACAGAAAATAAGAAAATTAATTCAACGTATCACAATTTCTGTCAGTTTTTTTATTTGTATAAAAATTGTTGGAAATCTGTTTCACTTACTCAAACGTGTTTCGCACGACGTGTGGGCCATTCTTGTAGGTGAGAAATCGGGAAGGTATAGATATAGGTATATGATATGAAGGGAACTTTAATTTATATGCAACGCTTCGAAGTGAAGTTCGGTTATACGTAGTTTTAAAAGGCCGCGGATCGTAATACTTACGATTTTCGTCAAAATTTGATATGAACATTTTAATGAAAAAAAAAACCTCCTATGTTAACTATTCAACTTTTTTTTTTTTTATCACAAAGGCCCTACGACTGATAAGGACCTTCTATTAAATTTCCATGCATTTTTGTTTAGTATAATAATTTTATCTACGAGTACCTACCGAATAAAAATTTCGTAAAAACTAGCAAAATTAAAATGCCTATAAATTGCTCAAAAATAGCACAAATGCTTAGAAAATTTCACCACGTCTAGAAAATGCAGACATGAGTTTTCTGTTAAATGTAAAGTTGTTTATACAAATATTTTTAACTGAATAACAAGAAAAAAATAATAAAAGCATTATTAAAACCAATACGTTCGTCGCTACACTCCGAGTCTAAAATTCGGAAAAGTAACCACAACAGCGATTTTTAGGAAAATTAAAACACAACATGTTAGAAATCCAATTATCATTAAGAATCTTAATTTATATTTTAAATGGTTTGTCGCATCCAAAAATTAGCTGTCTAAATTGCAATATAATCAAATGAACGCATATATTCGTAAAATATTTTATCAAACCGTGTAACACCACCGTAAGGTTAATAATATAATATAATATGAGCCTTTCCGGTATGGAAATTGGTTTACTCTATGTGTACCTATTGCGTAAAACTATATAAAAAAAAGAAATTATAAGGCTGTATTTTATCCGGAACAGCTTATAGTAATAACTATAGATGCAGTTTCATATCGTCGAATACGGAGGACGGGTGAACGCCACTATTGAACTTGACCGACCGACCGGTCTGACGATACGTAACCGTAAAAAAAAATAAATGTAACACGCCGCGAACGTATTACCTGATACTTGGTAGCCGGTTTTGTTTTGTTGCGGGTGACCGCGTGGAAGGACGGCGTGCGGCGGTGACAACAACCACGACCGCGGTCACGGCTCTCTATTTTTTTTCTTATTATTATAATAATATTTTATTATGTGGAACATCGTCGTGACCTGTTTTTTAGACGGTGTGCCACTTTTTACTAGTGCGAGTCGAGAACCTATCGGGACACGCGCGCGTGAGCGCGTTACTTAGTTTTCCACTCTCCGTACACATTTTTTCGATATATATATATATATATATATATATATATATCATTTTTAAAAATGTATGGTTAACACCCTTTGAGTAAACATAAATAATAAAAAAAAAAAAAGAAACATAAAAAAGCCGTTTATGAATAATACATAATAATACATACAGCACAAGTTATATTAGATATAATATGTTTGCATTATTTAATAAATAATATAATTTTGTCTATTTTTTTTTAGTTCTATATGTGTTTTTTTTTATAATTCAATTATTGGTAAATATCCAAAAAATAATGTTTAACGAATATTTCCGAACGTGTTAAGTTGTTGGCAAATTTGTTATGGTTAATTATATACTCCTATACTCGATTCAAGTAAATTATAGTAAAATAGTAGTTCTTCCGAGGTATACGTTAGTTCACAATGTTCTTTTTATTCCGAGTAATTTTAGATACGCCTTTATACCGTCTAGTAAGACATTATTTGGACAATTTCAATAATTGGACAAACACTGTAATATGGACTTGAAACTGTTTGAACTGAAAATTGTATGGACCAAATAAATTGAACTTAATTCTCGCATAGTTTCCGGTAAATGGCATAATAACTACAATTTGAAATAGTGCATGAATGGAAGTGAATTAGCTAGTAGAAACAGCACAAAAGTAAAGAACTACAGTAAAGAACGTTTATTGGCTAATTTTGTATAATCACCGAATAGGTTAATTTGCTGTGTAATTACCGTGCACAACAACAGATTAGGTCAAAAACCTGGTAATAAAATGTGTTAGTTAGAATTTTGAGATTAAGAGTCAGTAATATCACGTCCGTTACCGTTACGGTGTTCGTGGGTTAGGGGCACAGACCTAACCTAACCTAACCCATATTTCTCTTCTACGAAACGAAATATTTGTAAAAAAAACAAAACGTTAGCTCGATTTCTACATTTATACCAAAACCCTTAAAATTATTTAAATATTAATTATTAATTAAGGGTTAATTTAATATAATTAAATATTCACAAAGTTACGAAAACTTCCGGGTGTTTCGGATACGAATTCGTATTCGATAATTTCGGAGGGCTTTCGTTCGTTTACATCAAATGTCAACAGGGTCATGTTGAGGATAGGTGCGTTAAAATTATTTATGCGTCGTTCACTCAACTATACAACTAATTAAACTATTTTCAATGCAGCGTACGATTATTTAGGGGAAAAAACCACAATACTTTCTCCCCAGGGACCCTGCTTCACGAGGAACAATATAATAATAATGACGGTAATTTTTTATACCTCTTCCGACCGCCTTGGACGACGGGACACTTAACGACGGCCAAGGCCAAGCCCGCGCTCCTCCAAAGACCAGGAACAACAATGGCAGTAACATTGATAGCTGACGTCCGGACGACCGCGTTCCCGCCTTCATGGTCAGTGGTCAATTACCGCCGGCCGTTTAACATTTACAAAAGCATAAGTATGTATATATATATATATTATAACTAAAACACCACGCTTTATATCCCGGTAATAAAAACGGACGTAAATATGATATTGTGTTAAGACGCGCACTGACGACCGGACCGAACTGAACTGAAACGCGTTTCCGCCGCAGCCACGCGGACCCGTGCCGCAGGTGTGGGAATACCGGTTCCGCTCAATCGCGTGAGACGCTACCACGTTCATAATTTCATTTCATTGTCTTTTTTCATTTTTATCATTAAAATCAATTTTTATAATTAACTATTATTTTAGATTCAGAGTAGAATAAGGAATGTATTGGTTTTACAATGCTGTTTAATTTTTTATTTTTATGTGAACACTTTTTCTACAACAAATCCTACTCCGATTATCAAGTATGGCACCTTTTCTGAAAGGAAACGTTCTCTGGATGATACTTTTTTGTCATTTTTTGACATTCTTATTAATATTCGAAATAATGTGGAAAACCTCCGTCTTTAGGTTAAAAAAGATTGAAAGATTTAAAATAAGATTGTCAATGGCAACCGTTTTTATTTATTTATTGTTAAGTTTTTACTATTTTAATATTTTTTAAACAATCATTGCTGTCATAGAAACGCATATTATAGTAATCATTTCACTATAATTTGACATATACTATATATTGTATTGTTGACAAGCAACACTATCAACTAAACTCGGCTCAGAATCGTTTTTTCGTTAGCAATGGTTTATTATTGCTTATAGATATACATTCAATTTCGTCTGTATCTTACCTTCCCAACTTCGCACCTACAACAGTGGCTGCACCCATGTGCGAAGTATGTTCGTTCTTTTTTTCATATTTATAATTTTTTTTTTTGTAATCATCACAATGAAACATGTGTAATATTATAATGATTATAATATTAATAATTGGCATCTGTTATTAGCAATATAATTTTTATAATTTATTTGTTACCATACGTGGATATTAGGGAAGAGGACTTATGGGAGTTACAATCCCTCTCCTAAGGGTTTTAGTCCAATTTTTCGAAATAGGTATTACACTATTTTGTATAACATGTAGTGGACGCCGCTTATAAAACTTATAGATATAATATTCAGTTTAAGACTCATATTCACTTGAAATGGTCCGGACGTATCCAAATGCATTCTATCCTTTTTCTTTACGGACTCAACAGCAGATTTGAGTAGGATACCCGAGTTTCAACCCAAGTGACCAAAAAGTTGAAGATGGAATTACATGTAGTGGTTGAGCGCCCCGGCCTAAAACCATATTGCTCATCAATTAAAATGGAACTAACTGGACGTGAGATAGTACTTAAAACAATGCAGATTTCCACTAAATAACTAATAATAGAAATCGGCCTGTAGTTCAAGACATCTATACTGTCACCCGATTTAAAAATTGACGTGACTGAACTAATTTTCCAAAGATCTGGGAAAAAACCTTCGTCTAGCGATTCATTTATTACAAAAAAATAATGAGTAACATAATAATGCTATTATAGCGTAAAAAAAAGAACCTGAGAGATGGGCAAGTGTAGATGAAGATGAACGATACATACTAATTTAATTATCTAATGATAAATCATGATCAACTTTTTGTCTACATAAATCTAAGATAATTTTGTTCATTTTTAATCATAAAACCTTGTTCTAAAAGTAGTAAAACTTGTACTAGATTTGTACACATTTAGATAAGTATGAAAAACGTTGTGGTCAATTTAACTTAATATTTAATTAATTTAATCACATTAATAAGAATGTAATATTATAACTATCTATTATTTTATATATCCAATAAATACATAAATCATGATTTAAAGAATAGGCAGAGGCGCTATTCAAAATTGTATACAAGGGTGGGTGTAAACATTTAAGGAATGCCGATTACATTTGGCAATAATTCACGATAACTCGTGTAATATCGTTATTTACATTTTATCAAATAATAACAAATAAAAATTAATTTTTACACACAATACTGTTAATAGATAATCATCATTTAAAACAAAATAAATATGTAGACATAATGAAAATTATAAACATTATGTTACTTGTGTATCTTCTATAATAAATCGAACATATGTATAGTTACATTTTTCATGCATATTAGGAACTTACAATGGTTTTACTTCGGCCCATTCGTTAACTTATCTAATGTTGAATTCTTAATATTCTTATATGGGTTAATTTTATGATACAAGAAAATATCTGGTCTCGAAAAGGCATCCCGTACCTCTCTAAAATAATAGGCCTTCACTATTATAGGTGGTTTATTGACTAAAATCAACAATAAATCTTTGCTAACAAAAACCGCTTCTGAGTGGATGTCGGTTAACTGACGGATAGGTTTGTTAATATTTTTTTTCTTTGACTAACGGAGATCTTAAATCGAAAGATAATATATATAATAGTTAGACAAAAAAATATCCAAATTGTGAATTCTGTGAGCCCCGTATAGAAATTCAAATTTAAAGAATTTTCGGGATGTTTTGTGATCCACATTTTTAAATTTTGGATCACCGTGAGTGATATAGATTTCGTCCGAAACCGGAGTATCATAATTTGTTAAGTTTTTCTTAATTTTTCTTCACTATCGTGAATCTAGAAAAATATTTCTATAATGTATGACTGGTCGGGGAATTCGCATATTTCACTGTATGATTTGAACATTTTAGAGAATCTTTTTTCTGCTAATCGAAAAGGTAAAACATACAAGACAAATTTAAAAAAAAAAAAAACCATCGATTTGTAAAACTAATACATTATTCGCTCCGCTCAAAATCTAAAATGCCGATAGTAAGAAACCGAAATAATATTCAGTAAAATTATCAACTGCCATCAAAACGCCATTATGTCGTTTTGTGTCGTCCTCTTAACTGCATTAGTATACCTTACCGTATGCACGGCAAATAGTATTATAATATTCGGTGTGCACGCATATCGGTTGTTATTTTCGTATCGGGCGAGGCACTTAAGCTCCGTTATACGAAGGGTACCTACATATAATAATTTAAAAAAAATACCTTTTCTCTATGTGCAAATGCACAACCGCAAATATAGGACAGTTAAAACCGGTAACTTATTAAAAAGTTAACATTTATGTTATAATTATAACATAAATTTAGTAACTTAGTTAGTTTAGGTTAAAATTAAAGTAACTTAAGTTACTTTTTTTGATCATTTTTAACTTAAATATGTAGTCAACAGAAACACAATGAACAATAGACCTGTGTCACTCGAATCGGATTTTCCCAAACCTAATTTGTGTATAAGATATATTTTTTGTAACACAATATAGTACTATTTATACTAGAAACTATAATAGTTCAAGAAAAATACATAAAACTAAAAAAACTTAAAAATTTTAAATGACTATAAATAACAAAGTAAATCAACAAAATGTTTTGAACATTTTCTCACGTCTAAAAAGTTTACTAATATTATATTGTATATAATATTAGTATTCGATGAATAGTCCAGGTCTTTACGATTATTTTTTCCAATAAAACCAATAGAACAACAAAATTTAAAATAGTTAAAACAACATAGTTTTATGCGTAAATAATCCTATTATATTTTTGTCGCTTTTGGTCGAGTATTACGAAAACTACAAGGAAAGTTTCAAAAATGGACTATTCAATGCATCAACCAGACGAAATATTCTACCGGAATAAATGTCTAAAGTCAAGGATCGGAGCAAGATATTTTTAGTGGAAAAATTGTCAACAAACTGAAAAATAAAAATAAAACCCATAGTAAAACCAATGCATACTGTTTCTTGTTTCTCTCGGAATCTAAAATAAAGCGAGTGTTACAAGTTTACAGTAATATTTATTATATGCAAATGTCGTAATGATAATTTAGAGGTAGTTGGTTTAATCCAGGGAAACGGAATGAACCGAATTTATTTTATGACGGTGCGTCGCGACGTTTGATTTATTGCGTGCATAAAATCCGCAATCTCTATATTATTTGATCACGCACAGATCAAACACCGTGACGCGTAAAATAACTGCATATTATAGTAACGTATTTTCCCGGAACGACCGTATAATATGCAAATAAATGTGCATTATTAATGCGCCGTGTAAATATTTTCGTAAAATCGGTCAAAGCCCAAAAGGGATTATTATTATTATTATTTTTTTTTTTTTTTTTGTTATTATTATTTAAACTTCAAAGAGCTACTGCAGAAGGGATGTACGACGACGGCATGTGCGTCAATATGCATGTAACGTATTCAAATAGGACGTAATATTTGTTTTATTTTTTTCTACCTCGTCCAGACAAACAAAATATAAAATGTAGTGTTGTGTGTGATATTCTTCATAGCCATCCGATGAATCCTAACGACCCGCCTACATAATAAACAGTTCTCGAACTAGGGGGTGGGACTACGCAAAGGGATTCCGTATACTTTGACTAATTGTTCAGAGATTTTAGCGTATCTCTACTGTTTGGTTTAAATGGAACGCACGGTACGGTACACGATTTTGTATTTGCATTCAAATTTGACGTTAACGCCTAAAAAAAAAAAATTGCTTCATTTTGCTCAACTTTTTTTAACACTTATTATACACTCATGATGATGATTATAACACTACGTTTAATTTTCAAGCATTTTGGCCTGGCAAGAATAATTTCAATTCCATAAAACTAAAAAAAACCTAGAAAACTAAACAAATATCATATAGCTATATACTATATATATTAAACATATAAATAAAAAGTCTATAATGTTTTGAAAATTGAATCATGTCTGGAACAAACTATGTATAAGAATTCGTTGAGTTTTTCGGCATTTACGTTTACTTTTTACAGAATAACAATAAAACAAAAACAAATGGAATATGACAAAAACCGTTTATTGTATATATATTATAGTTTTCCTAATGTTTTTATCGGGCTCCCAGTTATTAAGAATAATACAAAGAAAATGGAAAAACAACCATCCCTCCTTCTCGTTGCATTAACTAAACAAACAATTTCTACCAGCAACCATCACCCCTAAAATTGATAATCGATAATCAAGATTTATGATATAAAAATTATCAGTGGTTTACAGACACACATCCTAGTAATTTATCATAGTACAATTTAAATATATATAAG